TTGTTTCATTGGGCATTTGAAGAATTGCAGCATCCTGAAAAAAAACATATATATACTGTATTTCTCATATATTATACTCATATAAACATTATTTGCTTTGTGTACAGTAAAAGATTCAATTTCATTTATTACTTTAAAAGCCTCTCAAAGGATCGTCATTAAAACAATCAACTGAGTGCTCGTCATAGTGGTGCGTTCTTCAAGAATCGCGTCGGCCAACGACCATCGGCCGCTTAAGATATGCTGGACATACTTACTGCACCAGTTTCATGTCCTTTGTGATCCTCAACGCGGGGAAACTGTACATAACACCTATATTCGTGTGGGATGTCCTCTATCTTAGCTTCAATAATTTGATCCCGAAGGCGTCTTGATACTGTCCGACGGTTATACTTACTGTTCTGGTTTATCTTGGAATAGAAAAAAATGTTGACAATTATAATGGTAATGTAGGATTCCCAATGGTTAACTTCAATAAAATCTAGATTGGAATAAGTGAACTAAATTCCTATTTTAAATTAATTAATTGAGTGATGAAGGAGTATGTTCAAATCAAACAGACAGAATACACCATTTAATAATCTTCCAAAGAAGGCCTTGACTATATTTTGTTTTTGATTATATTTTTTGTCGCCTTTGTCGCCGCCATAATCATCATCATTATTTTAATATTACAAGATGATGCTGAATGTAACAGTGAATGTAAATAACAATAATAATAATAATAATAATAATAGTTGGTACAATAGCCAGCAGTTACTAAGCCTAGTTGACTTACCTTATATTGGTTAAATTTCAGAATTTCGCGGAGATAAATAAATGCACGACAATCACATTTCTTTGATTTCCTCTTTTTCCGATTTGGAACGTCCTTGACCTGAGACATAAATGCATAACTTTATTATCATTGGCTTGTATAATAAAGTCTAGTCCATTTTATTTAGCATTTTGAGCTTAAGTCATACAAGTGTTAATTTTTGGGGTTGGCTGTCCTAACTTGAAATGGCATGCAGAATATTATAATAAATTTTAAAGCTAGCCTTTGGAGGAAAAAAATAACATTTTAATATGTTATACAACAGATTTTCAAAGGACACTGAAGGAGTGTTTGATAAAAAAAAAATTTGGCACAGATTAAAAAAAAAACAAAAAACGAAAGGACTTATGCTTGCTTCCTGGTAGAAATGCTATACAGTAATATCAATGACAAAATGTATACGAAAGTTTTCTACAAACCTTCGCTCCTTTTCTGAATTTCCCAAATTCACAATCCATTTTCTTTGCCCCTTGAAAAATATATGGTACTCCATCATACGGTATATGACAAAGGTCAGCTGACGAACTTCCCTTTTTCCCGGGCATTTCTTCCCACATTATTCTACACTTGGTCAGATCTAAATTAGAATCAAACATGCTCTTTATTAAAACATAAGTAACATATTAGTTTTCACATAATTTTCACATCCCAGACAGAGCAGACACTGGTGTCAGCTAATTGCTATTTGTGTGTGCAATAGCTCAGTCAATTCAAAAGCTGTTGTTTTACATCACAATAATTATTTCGTTGCTAGGCAAATATAACTAGCCTAGCCAGCCATATGATCATGAATGACTCCCTGAAATAGGACCAGGCCTACCTAGGCATAGGCAGAAAATTATAATATCCGGACCCTGCCTGGCCCGGCTGGCAGGCACTTTCCCTGGTCTCTAGCTAGCCTATAGGCTACTTTACCTTCCTTTTCAGTGACGCTGCGCATTACAAAATGACAAGTGGATTCCTCAAATTTTTTGATGTGGTGTTTGGCTGCTTTAAAACTATCAAACCACAAAAAATGATCATTATTATCAACTTTGTGCACCGTATAAGTACCCATCTTTGATTAAAATACCTTAAAAGACAGTACTCGAAGTCCTGTTTTTTTTTCCATTCTTGACACCGCCACCAACGACAGAAAATGAGTATGGGACGCCAATCAAATTTGGTATGGCGCGCACTGAGGGCAACAAAAGAATTATATTTACTGTACTAAAAAAATCAGGGGTTTAACCAAAGTTTTCTGAGCCCAAGGAAAGCCTTAATAGAAATGGCGTCACTTTCCTGCTTTTATTCTTGCTTCAGGCGAAAGAAATCTAAATTCTGGTGTTTCCAGTGGTGGCCAGAAGCAGATACACAGGGTTGCCATGCTATGTTGCCACATCAACCTCCGAAGTACTCAAAGGGCTGCCTCTCGGACTGCTAGTCCCCGCGGATTTCATGCGCGATCTCACATTTTAGGTGTATCAGTCATGTCAATGGACAATGTAGATGACAATGTGTTGTTTCTGAGACTCCTATAACCCCCAACAGGCAGGACAATAGTGGTACTTTGGCGCATAATGCTTTCCGAGGGCCGTAAGCCAGAGCCGGGGAGGGGGGCTGCAGCACCCCGTAGCACCACTACTGTATAGTGTAAATTCCAGATGTCATTCTGAGCGCATCTGAACATTATTCTTGCACTATGGATATTTATTATTGCTATATAAATGATTGATTGATTGATTGATTGATTAAATTCTACCAATAAAATTTATTCTTTTTATTTGTATGTTAAAAAGATAAACTTTCATTTTTTCTAAAATTTGCAGTTTTTCGCAGTGGCAGGTGCGCCAATTGGCAAAAAATAAAATGTTATTTTCATTCTAAATTATCAATATTTGAGAACGGCAGGTTTGCGAAAGGTATAAAAAAGTCTCACCTAATGAATGAATAACAGTCAGAATAAAATCTATAGTTTCCTGTGTTGTATTTTTCAATTATCACAATACAAGATAGGTCTGCCTTAAGATATGGGGGTAAGGTTGTGAATACAGATACATTCTTTGGATTGAATTTAACATGGCAGGTACTAATTTTCAAACGATAAATATAAATCATTAATAAAATATCAACAACGTCGAAATGTATCTTTCCGTAAAAACTTGCCCAAAGTTTGGAAAATAGAGTTAAAATCTGGTATGGCATGCACTGAGCACAATAAAAGGATTATATTTCTGGGAATTCACTGAGTAACCCAAATTTAGGGCCTTGCACCCAGCCTACTTGCACCCAGCCTACTTGCACCCAGCCTACTTGCACCCAGCCTACTTTTCATAGTGTCTATCTAAAAATATAACCAAAAAATCTGAAAAATGGGAATGTGATAGGCAGAAACAGGGAATATGTGCACATCTATCTGTATTGCGAAGGAAATATGCACAATGACATTTTGAGGAAACTTGCAATAATATCCAAGGGGCAATGCATAGTGGAAATGTCCATCGAC